TTTTTTTTTTTTTAATCTTTTTTTGTCAATACAAATTTTTGGGGGGGGTTTTTTTTTACTTACTTATTTATTTATTTATTTATTTATTTAATTTTAATTCTCTTACAATTTTTATTTTCACGTTTGCAATTATAGTTTGCAATAATTTCTACGATCTTTAATTCTTTTTCATTTTTTACTTAACTTTTTTCACACACTTATTTATACACACAAACACATACACACACACATACATACATACATACAAATATACACACATTCAAATACATAGCGTGTTCACTTTCCTTTCTTTTTTTTGTTTTTTTTGTTTCTTTCTTTATTATTTTCACCAGCGTCAAATCGCTTTAACGAGAAAAGACGGTAATCTCAAAATCCTTTTTTTTTTTATTTATTATTATTATTATTATTATTATTTTCTCTTCGTGTAATTTATAATAAATATATATATATATATATATATATATATTTATTTTATAATTATTTATACATGTGCAATAAGTACCATCGTAATTATTAAAATGTCTTGTCACCTGTTTATATTTGTATTCTGCTTTAAATTAAATTACTATGGTTAATTCGTTTAAAAACTATATATTACACGTACATACATAATATAATACACACATATATATATGCCCTTTCATGTATATATATATGTATATATCGATCTTCTTTTTCTTAACCATTTATCAGACGACGAAACAAATTTCAACCAAAATTTGTCCAAAATTGTTTCTCTCTAATATTCAAACACCCACCCCCCTTTTCTTTTTCTCTCTCATTTTTTTCGTTACTTTTTTTTGTTTCTTTCTAATCACGATAAGTGGTAAAGTCAAATTTCCCATAGAAATATCTCGTCGAACTGGTTACATTCTCATTTTATATTGGATATAATAATGATAAAAATGTTGTATTTTTATCTGAATCAGAAATTGATCGTTTGTACGAACATATTTTCTCTATCTCTTCTCTATCTCTTTCTCTCTTTTTCTCTTTTACATACACATTCTCTCTATCTCTCTCTCTCTCTGTTTCTCTTTCCCAATTTCTGATGAATCCACGTTTGAATGGATCAACGAAAAAAAAAAAAGAAAATATATTAATAACCTTATGAAACGAAGATTCAAAGATTTCAATGCTTTTTACGAAAATGAGTGGAAAACGCAAAAAGAGAGAAAGAGAAAGAGAGAGAGTTAGAATGAGAGTGAGAGAGAGAGGAGAGAATAATAATGAAAAATGTCAAACGATCGTAACTGAAAATAAAAAGAAAGGATTATTACATTGATTACATTAATTATTAATATTAATGATTTACAACAATATACAAAATAATAATTTGTTCGATACAATCGGCGATAAACTTTTTTTCAAAAAAAAAAAAAAAAGAAAATCTTTCGTCAGTATCTTCGATATTATCAAAAAAGAAAAAGAAAAAGAAAAAGAAAAAAAAAAGCAGAGAAATAAAAAAGGAAAAGAAAATCATTCAATCTTGACACAACCATATTTTTTTTTTTTTTTAAACTATCTCATCTTTTTTTACTCATCATCAAATATCTCACGTGTGGTGGTGTCTTCATTTGCGTGTGCACAAAAAGTATTAAAAAAAAAAAAAAACAAACAAACAAACAAAATTAAATAAATATAAAAAAAATTAATACCCAACGAATGATAAAAAACGAACAACAAACATAAATATTTAATAATCATGAAGAAGAAAATATAATTAATATAAAATATAAAATAAGAACACATTCGAATTAAATTACATAGTTTTTTTTATCTATATATATATATATATATATATATATTGGATTGACAAATAAATAATTGCAAATTTTACCAATGATTTTCTTAGAAAAATTTGCAATTACTTAATTGTCAACCCAATATATTAAGTGGTTCGAAAAATCGTTTCGTTTTTTCTTGACACAATAATGGCATTAGTTGATGCAAACTGACAAATAGTAACACATGAGATCAATGAGAGCTTCAATTTATCAAAATCAACTATTTATGACCACTTGAAAGTTTTAGGTTTAATCTCGAAGCAAAGATTATCTTCATTTTTACAAAAAAAAAATGAAACTACTTTCTGAATCCACCTAATACAATATATATATATATATATATATATATATATATAGTCTACGTTAATTGTTTGCTTTTTTATTTGTATTAAATTTTTCCATACAATTTTTCATTTAAAATAAAAACTAAAATTACAATATAATTAAATAAAACAATTTTATCAAATTTACATTTGATGATATAGAACGATTTTAATCATACACACCCCTCTCCTCCTTTTCTCATCCCCTGTTTTCTTTTCTTTTTTTTTTTGTTAATTCTTCTTTCTATTTGAAGTTTCTGTCAATCTTTCACCGTGATATAATATCAATGTTAAATTATAAACAAAAGAGACAATAAACAGAATCTTTTATTAATTAATTCATTTCCTTTTTTTCTTCTTCTTCTTCTTCTTCTTCTTCTTCGATTTTTTATCTCATCCTCAAAGACGCCATATTTAACGTTCTCATTTATTTTTAACATATCCTAAATAAATCGTAATAATTTGAAAGTAAATCAAAACTGCGTTTCTGTTTACTCTCGTAAATCAAATTCTAATTTAAAAAAAAAAAAAAAAAATCATAAAATAAACGTCGAACAATGTTTACAACACCACTCTCCTGTATTATTATTATTATTATTATTATTATTATTATTATTATTATTATTATTGTTATTATTATTATTATTATAATAAATCAACTAATGATCTTCTTCCACTTCAGCTGTTATTGTTGATCCTGATGATGCTGATGAATATGAAGATGAAGATGAGGATGAGGATGGTGATGATGATGGTGATGTAGACAACAACGTTGTTATCGTCGTCAATGTTGTTTCTGTTGTTGTTTCTAATGCTGCTTCTACTGTAGCTGCTACTGTTTCTGCTACAGTTGCTGTTACTTCTGCTGCTGCTGTTATTGTTGTTGTAGTCATTGTAGTTGTAGTTAATGGTGCTGTAGTCATCGTTGTCGTCATCGTTGTCGTCATCGTTGTCGTCATCGTAATTGATTCTTTTCTACCAGCAGCTTCGGTAGCATCAATCACCTCGAAACCTTCGGACGTTGATGTGTCAGTTGACGAAAAACAATCTGCAGTTTCCGTCAATCCAATTTCTTGGGATAACATTTCCCCGAGAGTTGTTTCCTCGTTTGTGTCATCGATCCTCGGGTTGTCATCTAAACGCATAGCTGAATGATATAAATAAAAAAAAAAAAAAAAAAAGAACAGAAAGGACATTGGTTAAATACATCCCTTTTACAACTTACTTTTGGTTTTATTTGTTTTTTTGTTTTTTTTTGTTTTTGTCGTGTTTCGAATGAGATATTTTCCTTACTTTTTTTTTCTTTTCTTTTTTTTTTTTTTGGAACAATGATTGTACGATTAAAATAAACAATTTTTAGATATGAACAAAATTATTATAAATATATATTTTTTTCCTATTCCTAATTTCAACTGAACTGTCGTTTTGTTTTTCTTTTCGTGATTATAAAAAAAGAAAATATCCCTATTTTAAAAAAATGAAAACCATCGATGAAGTAACACGCACATTTTATTATATATATATATCGATTTTAATGGATGAAAGAAGAAAAAAAAATAATAAAACAAAAAAACAAAAATAGCAGAACCTACCTAGTGTTAGGTGGATTGAAATGTTTCTAGCTTATCGTAGAAAACCATTTTTTATTTTTTTTTATTTTTTAGAGTTCTGTCGAATTAACTTTGATTTCAAACAAAAAGAAAAAGCTTTATTTCGTTGAAGCTAAAAAAAAAAAAAAACTTTTTCAACTCACTTTCCCTTCCCAACCCTTGTATATCATCCAATCGATGCACGAACAACAACAAAAATAATTGTATAAAATAAAATGAAATTAGTTTAATAAATAATCCATGCCAATGAATGAATGAACTGTAAATGAATAAATGAACAATAAAACAATGGTTTCAAGCAAAGATTGTAGTTTAATTTGAGACGACATTTATAACTTGGGATAGTTAAAAAAAAAAAAAAAATAAATAAATAAAGAACAGTTTAATGATTCTAAACTGGTTAGGATCATAAATTTATCTAGGATGTAAACTGAACGAGCCTAAACAAAGCTAACTATCTATCTTTTCCTGGGTTTGGTCATACCTACCTACCTACCAACCTACCAACCTACCTACCTACCTTTCTACTACCTACAGGGTGTTAGTTGTTAAGCCAGTTATCGATCGTCCAGGTGGTCGCGGTTGAAAACCCGAGGTGAAATTAAAAAGGTCCAGAAAGTAATTGTCGTTTAGTTGGATACAAAAAAAAAAAATCACAAAAAAAAAAGTAGAATAAACTGGGCTACCAATATCCACGTGCCAAACCTGTGTGTGTGTATGTGTGTGTGTGTATGTTGAATGAGGAAACTACGATATGGTTTTTAGTGACACAAAGAATTCTACGATACAAAAGTAAAAGGTTTTTTTTAAAAAAAAAAAAAACACTTTTTGAGAACAAGAGAATAGCAGAGTATGAGAATACGACGAAGATCGGTGTTGTAACCGAGTAATACTGTTCGAATGATCGTTAACAAAAAAAAAAAAAAATTGAAAAAAGAAACATGATTTGATTAAAAAAAAAAAAAAAAATGAAATGAAAAGAGAGAGAGAGAGAGAACAAAACAACAACAAAAAATAGAACATTCCGATAAAAGTACGTAACACGATGTTCCTCCTCACCCCAACCCACCCACTCCCACCCACCCCATCACCATCCTCTTTTTTTCCTACAGAGTTTGTGTCAAGTGAATGAAAATCAAGAAGAGTAGAGGAGGAATTTCTAAAACGATTAAAAAAAAAAAAATAAAAAAACGAAACGAAACGAAACGAAACATTGGAACCCTTTGAGCATAACAAAACGTATTAAATTCGCTTTGAGAACTATATATTGTAAATCATCCTCCGTGTGACTGTAAAAGCGACTGTATAGTATAATCAATTTTACGTTGATTTTCATTTATTTCGGAATTATTATAATAGGATATTTTAACGCGTCAATGGAGTTAATAATTGGTTAGTTTGTTATGTTTAGTTCTCTATCTAGAATTAAACTTATTAAAACTTATGTTCTATGTGATAATTGTGTATAATTAATTAATGAATTGAAATATAATTCGTATAGTTTGATTCAAAAGATAAAAGTCAAATTAACTGTTAACACCAACAACAACAACAACAACAACAACAACAATAATCAAAAATAAAACAGGGAAGAAACATATCAGTAAATCTACAAAATTAAATATAATTTCTATATATATATATGTATAAACAAAATTAAGCGTATTATATTAAATGAAATGATTTTTAAACAAATAGATATTAATTAAATAAAAATAATAATTAATGGTTGGTCTAATAAAGACTCACTTTGACTTTGATCGTTCGTAGATGATTCAACAGACGACGAAGATATTTGTTCAACAATTACTTCGGTGTTGTTAGGATCAGAATCTAATTGGGATAACTCGGTGATATAATTCTGTTGGGTTTGTTCATTCATCGGTGTCCAAGGATTTGAACCAGATAATGGTGTCGTTGTAGCCGACGTTCCTGGAGTCGTTGCTGTCGTACTAGGTGTAGGTGGTTGAGTTGTAGCTGGTTGTGCTGAATTACGTAACAATAATTGTTGCAATTGAGCCTGTTGTAGTATCACCGGTAATTCGTAATGATGAAAGAAGTATAACATCGAGTGCTGAAAAATAACAAAACAATACGGTGTATGTATGTATATATCTTCTTAATATATATATATAAATTACGTCACGTCACGTTGTTTGTTCGCAATGGACTCCTAAACTACTGAACTGATTTTAATCAAATTTAGTACACTGTGTGCAGTTTTATCCAACTTGAAAGATAGGATAGTTTATATCTCAATTTATAATTGCAATATTATTTTATTTGCGAATTATTTGTTGTATAAGGTAATTCGTTGACTTTAAGACGTGTGTATTGGACTGATTGTGAGCTACAGCAACGCGTGGCGGGACACCCCTAGTATATATATATATATGTATGTATGAAATACAGGTATGGTCAGTTGTTTGACTTTTACTGTGAAGAATTTTGATTAATTAACTTTTCTGTTATAACTAGAGAAAAAAGAAATTGTTCAACATTACCTTCAAATGTTCAAAACTTAATAAAAACATACCAAAGGTAATATATAACTTATTCTTTTAATTATTATTATTACTGTTATTATTATTATATTTAAATAGCATAAAAATTGTAAATACTTTTAGACATTATATACTTTTTTATTCTTTTTTTTTTTTGAAACTAACATTAAAAGAAGAAACACAAAAAATTAGATTCTTCATCATATGTGAAATAACGAACACGTTAAATATTGGATTGCCCGAAAAGTGTTTTTCGAGTTGATTAATAATTTTTCATATGCACATATTGATAAATTAATCATTGTTACGAACTTTTTACTTCTTCTAAAGTGTAATACTCATATAAAAGTTTGCACAAAAAAGTTTCGAGCAAATTTCGTGAAAAATTGAAATACACGTAGAACTGTATAATAAAAAAAAAAAAAATAAAAAAAACAACCAGCAAAATATAAATATAAAGATTGTTTAAACAATCTTACGATAAAACGATCGTATCGTTGAGTTACGATTTAATAAATAAATTTCATCAAATGTTTCGAACAATAATAAAACAAAAAAATTGTACAATTAACAAATTCTCAGAATCTATCGAAATCAGATTGTTGAATATTGTTGTCGGTGACAAATAAAAGTAACATTCTACCATATTATATTTTATCTATGGTGGTATAGAAATAGATAGTGCGTATGTGTATGGTGTGGTTAAGGTTAGGTTAGGTTAGGTTGCTTGGTTGGTTGGTTGGTTGTTCCCAGTCGAAGTTTCTGTGTCGCAAGCGGCCAGCAAATTTATATGGAAATTCGGCAAATTCGTTCTATAGAACCGGGGGACTACTACTCTCTTTCTCATGGTCAAACCCCGAAGAGAGAGCTATACTATACATATATATATATATATATATAATATATGGCTACATACCATGCATCAACTCTCTATCTTCTATCTATCAATCCCTCTTTTTCTATTTTTCTCGTTTGCTCACGCGATCGAGGATTACTTGCAATTGTAATTTTCTCACATATCGTAACACATACATATGTTATACTCTATCTACCATCACCACCACCATCACCATCATCACTACGTGTATTTCAAACCTTTTACATTTCAACAAACAAATTTTTGTTAATTAATCACGATTTATTTGGTGCTAGGTCTAGTTTAAATAAAAATATTAGAAGGATAGGTTATTGAGTAAAATATTGAACACTAAAAAGGAAACTTGAAACTAAAATCAAAAAGAAAAAGAAAAATAAAAAAGTAAAGTAAAGTGAAGTAAATTAAAAAAAAAAACAAAAAACAAAAAAAAATGTTGAGAAATTGAGAAATATGGAAAATAGAAAATAAATGAAAAAAAAAAATAAGATTGTACAACAAGAAGAAGACAAATGAAGGAACACATCGAAAGGGCGGGGGGGTTTCACGATTTTTTTTGTTGATCCTCTAGAAAAAGCAGAAAAAGTAAAAAGGTCACGGGGGTGGTATGAAAATGGGTAATAATATGAAGTAAACCCCCGAGAGAAAATCGAATTTTCGTTTGGCGGGGGAAGGGGGAGGAGGGAGGGGGGAGGGGTGTAATAATCGGTGAGCCGATGACACCGATATCATCGTACGGCATATAATCATCCCCAAAGGCTAAATCGTCCAACGAGAAAACCCTGATCTACGACAACGGTTAGTGGGTGTTACAACGAACCCAGCCAGTCGCGGATGGATCAAAACGATTTTCCATGTTGCAACCATCTCTCATTTTGCTGCTGCTGCTGCTGCTACTGTTACCAACGGGGCTGTTTCGTTGTCGTTGCTGTTGCTGTTGCTGTTGCAACAGGATCAACAAACCAGGTTTAAACCCTTAGGGCAGCAACTTGAATTTTCCAACGACAGGGTGATATAGAGAGGTTGACACTCATAAACTCGTTAACTCCTCAAATAATTTACGATAGGACGGATCGATTTAACCAAGCCAATACTTAAATCTAGGGGAGGGGGCAGGGTGAGGTTGTTTTTGTGTTAAGCGTTATAAATATCCCCCACCCCCCAAAAAAATCAACCCTACCCCTAAAAATACTGTACGAACATTAACAATATTTTGTTTCGTCAAACGTTCTTATAAATCCACTAACCTCACCCCCCTCAGTACGACCACTACCAATACTCCCTCCTACCCTCCTCCTCCTCCTCCTCCTCTTATACCTGGATGCATTATTAGTTTACATCTTTCATCGATTAATTATCCATTCCATTAAACTTTAATGGCAATTCGATTTTTTTTGTTCTTTTTTTTTTTCTTTTTTTCATTTTGCCCCATACGAAATATATACAGTAAATGTCGAGAACGTAGCTAGCTATTAACGCAACGACTACCTCTTATAATGCTATTATAACAATACCTGTGTGTTAATACCAGCCCCATCGCTATAATCTAATTACGAGTTATTGGCTTTTCAAAGTGCGCTATCCGGAACTGGATTACATACCTGACCGATTATAAGAACGCCAATCGATTTGTTTACATCCTATAAACGATCGATTCATCGATCGTCGTATAATTCCTCGATTAAAAAAAAGTAGTAGCAGAAAAAAAAATTAATAATAATAATAATATATTTAAAATGAACAATAATAAGTTTACGTTAAACGATTGGTAATACACACTCTCACTCCCTCCGAAAGAAAATATTTCTTATGGGATAGGGGAAACAATGTGAAATAACAATGAATCCTTTTTTTTTTCGAGATATAACTTTTTAACATTTTTCAGCTTTCAAGATTGAATTCGAGATGATGATGACATTCAATTTTCCGCTAAATAAACAAAATAATAAACTGTTACGATATATATTTTCATTGATATGAAATAACTCATTGTTTCGAAACAATTTCTCACGATTATGTCAAATAAAATCTATCGAGATGATAAAAAAAAAAAAACTTTGCAAATGTTATTTTACGAAAAATCATATTATTTTATTTATTATTTAATATAATATTTATTCTATTATATATATATATATATATATATCAAATAATTTCTATTTAATGTTATATAATTTCAATATCAAATTATAGAGGAATTAATCTTACTTTACCATGGTACAAGAAAAACATTGCATAAGAAAATAAAAATAAAATCTTAAAAGAATTATAATACCAACCTAACTTATATAGAAGTGTATTAAATAACAAACAAACAAACAAAATAAATAAATTTTATCTATAAGATCGCGTATAGATTACATAAGTGTTACCAGATTTAAAATTCCAATATAAAAATCCACAAAAATAAAAAACAATATGACACTTGACTCTCATAGATCGTATCAAATATTAATAACAAAAAAGAAAAAAACAAATAAATAAAATTTACTTAAGTATTATCAGATTTAAATCCAAAGGTAAGAATCCACACAAAAAATACCTGACGATCATAAATGGTATCAAAGTAACCATCGTCTCATCAAACGAAATCAAATGTGTTACTAGATTTGATAAGTAATTCGAGGTATGTTAAGATAATCCTTTAAAGGGTGGTGAGGGTGGTAGGATGTCCTTCGTTCTTCTATACAAATGTGTACCTAATACATACACTGGTTGGGCTGGCACGAGGTACGCATTAAATTACTTCCATCGATCGAGCTGTCAGGAGCATTGTACCGCCGCTTGCGTTTACGTAACTTACGTTTGAACGATAGCGAGAGCGAGGCTCTGGGTGCTGCTGCTGCTCTAGGCTATAGAACTGCGGCCACGCTCTTCGTCCTGCCGCCGCTGTCAATCGCAGACTCCCACCATCGACGAATGGCCTCTCTCGCAAAGTATCCCCCAACCCCCAACCCCCAATACCCAACACCCCTACCCATTTCACTCCTCACACCACACCAACATCACTATTCCCTACTTTGTCTTTCCTTCTCACTCTCGTTCTTCATTCGCGATACACAATACGATACCCAACGATACGATACTGTAATTCGTTTCTTTATTCAATCTACTTCATCTTTCCAATCCTATCTTTAACCAAACACTATCACATTCACCATTTATTTCTTATTCTATTTATTGTTTATCATATTTGAACTTCTTGAAACTTATCAAAAATCTTCTTAATATATATAAATTACATCACGTCACGTTGTTTGTTTGCAATGGACTCCTAAACTACTGAACCAATTTTAATCAAATTTTACATACTGTGTGCAATTTCATTCAACTTGAAATATAAGATAGTTTAGATCTCAATTTATAATCGTAATATTATTTGTTTATTAACAAAGAGTCATGATTATCTCTGTTAGTTCGATAAGATTGTAACGAATGGTGGTATAAGATAATTCGTTGACAAGACGTGTGTATCGGACTGATTGTAAGCCACAGCTAGTAAAATATACCAAAAATACTATCTTACCTGTATAAACAAACAAGATGTCACCAATGCAAGACTGCTGTACTGTCCATTGAAACGATAGTGATAAGCGTAGAAAGAGAAATGATACAAGTAGAAGAACCTGAAACAAACAAAAACAAAAACAAAAACAAAAAATTAGATAAAATCAATGAATTATTATCAATAATAATTTAACATCCAATTAGATATAATTAAAAACAAAAAAATATATCGATAAATTTATTTCCATCTGATTTGATTTTATTTTGTATCTGTTTTTTTTTTTCGAGAGAGATGAGATTTAAAGAGAGAAAAAAAAAGAAAGAAGTAGAAGAAGTAGAAGAAGAAGAAAAAAAATATGTTCTCGAGACGATCGCAGGATTAAATGAGGTATAATTAAAAAATTCCTTCGGCGCAATCGACAAACTTTCCGATCTTATATCCGGAAAACACATAAAACTTATCTTTCTCATCGCGCCAAGGATTAATCCGGCACCGGGCTTTATGGTAAATAAAACGCAGAAACGCTTTATCTCTTAATCTCTTCTTAACTGAATTACTTCTTTACGCTATTTCGTGAGGACTCCCTTCTCCTCCTCCTCCTCCTCCTCCTCCTCCTCCTCCTC